CTTTCCCCTCTTCCCTTCTCTTCCCTTCTTTCTTTCTCTCTTCCTTCCCTTCTTTCTCCCTTCCCTTATTTCTCTTTCCCTCATCTTTCCCCTTCATGTCCCATATTTTCCCCTCCATACCATTCTTTCCCCCTTCCATTCCTTACTCCCTTTTCTCTCTCATCTTTCTCCCTTCCTTTCATTTCTATTTCTTTCTTCCTTCTTCCCTTCTTTCATCCTCCCTTCCCTCCCTTCTTTCTTTAATACCTTCCCTTCTTCCTTCTAAAAATAAATAATAAATAATGACTTTAGTTTTAACCTGCCCACTCTTCCATGAAGGGACTCAGGGCAGCTTCCAAAAACAAAAAAGGCAAACATTCAATGCCAAAGATTGCAATAAAACAAAAACAAGCAAATAGTTAAAAACAAACAGTTAAAAAAATAAATGAAATAAATTAACTTAGGCTAAAACATGTGGTCGATCTACCTTATAAATCACACATCAGGCTAAGAAAATATAAAAAAATACTTGTATATACAGATAAAACATGGCTCTCCAATAAGTTAAGGTAATATAATCAGTGTCAGCATTGGCAGTCAAGATAAAAAGAATGAGAAGCTAATAATCTTCCTCTCCAAAAGCCAATATGCAAAATCATGTTTTTAATTGTTTCTTAAAGGAGAGGAGTGATGGGGCTGTTCTGAGTTCCAGAGTGAGGGCGCGATCACAGAGAAGGCCTCCTCTCTCGTTCCCACCAACCACGCTTGAGATGGGGGTGGGACCGAGAACAGGGCCTCCTCCACTGAATTCAATGAGTAGACATATGTAGGTAGGCCTGCATTGTAAGAAAACTACTGTATTATGAATGAATACACTCTGTGTTTAAATAACTGAATATTTCTTCATATCACAACAGTCAGCAGATCACTATATAATTACTTATAGATCAACTGTGTATCTACCAAGTCCAGAGAATTATCCCTGACAGTCATCAAAACAGGCTAATTTTAAAGGAGTATTAAATAAAAAGCAATTAAGGAATCTGCTTGCTCAGAGTTTCTGGAAGGTATTTTGGAAAATTAAGAGAGATTTTGCATGTTTGTTGTTACTAACAGACTTATCTTTCATTGACAAAATTGTCTGAAAATAAAGTTTTCTTTCTGACCTTCAAAGTAGCTGCAGACATCGATGGCTATTATACACAAAATGTGATTGATAAACCACCATGTGTCGCTCCATATGTGGAGTGCAGACAGAGTTGTTTCACTGATGAGAACAAGAGTATCATCAAACAAGTCTTTGCAAATATGTTTGCATCAGATTATAACACAACCCACCTAACTATATTTGTACATGTACATCTTTCAGGATGAAACTTTCTCTAGGCAACTTACAGCAATAATCCAACTTGTTAAACAACCAAAATGTTTAACAGGGGTATTTTAGAAATAAAAAAGGTAAAGGTAAAGGTTTCCCCTTGAAATTAAGTCTAGTTATGTCTGACTCTGGGAGGTGGTCTTATCTCTATTTCTAAACCAAAGAGCCGGTGTTGTCCATTTATGTCTCCTAGGTCATGTGGCCGGCATGGCTGCATGGAGCATCATTAACTTCCTGCCGAGTGGTACCTATTGATCTACTCATATTTGCAATTTTTTTGAACTGCTAGGTTGGCAGAAGCTGGGGCTAACAGTGGGAGCTCACCCCACCCCCCAAATTCGAACCATCAACCTTTTGATCAGCAAGTTCTGCAGCTCAGTGGTTTAACCTGCTGCACCACCAGGGGCTCCAATGTTTTAGAAAAAAAATTAAATGTACATATAAAACATGTTGGATGCTTGTTCAAATGTGATGTGGATGTGTAACTTCAGATGTGTATAAACTTTGACATAATAGAGGTACAGCTAAAGTGTAAGTGGACCATGCTGAACATGTTCATTACCAGAAGGCCTAATTGTTTCTGGCCAATTTGGTTTTGCAGGATTCTGTTGAATTCTGGGAAAGGTTAGATACCACATGTAATCTGATGAAAGAGATGTGTGTCTTTTCCTATGTATGCCTATTGAAGAATGCCAGTCATGAAGAATTTGCATTCAATCACATTCGCCTTCTGCCTGGCACCCTTGAGGAGATATAACTGGATGACCAAACATAATTCTATCATCCTTTTACATAAATCTGGTTTTCTACATACACCAAGGAGCTACAGGTAATTTGTTGTAGTTACTCCTCCACTGATTTCTATAGGACTTGTGGAAAGCATTATGCAATAGGAAAACACTAGTGTCCCCCTATCCCTGTCTCTTTCAGCAACTCTCCAGTCCTACTATCGTTGTTATGTGCCTTCATTTCTGACTTAATGGCAACTCTAAGTCAAACATATCACAGGGTCTCCTTGGCAGAATGTGTTCGGGGGGGGAATTAGCCAAAATTAGCCAAAGAAAGCAAGGGGCTGCCCTTGCTTTCTTCCAAGGCTAAGAAAACATGACGTGGCCAGTCATCCAGTAAATTTCCATAATCACCCAGGGTCCTAGTCCAAACCACAACAACATGCTGGTTCTCTCTCACTTTTCATTTGGGATTATATTTAATGATTAATTAGTAACTTTATTTGTAACCCGTCCTATCTCCCGAGGGGGACTCAGGGCAGTTTCCAGACAAAAGGTGGCACTGTTATACTGTTATCATGTTACATCCCTTGCATTCAAATGCTGCCGCCGTCATAGTTCCAGTTATTAAAAGGTGCAAGTCACAGAATAACTGCTTTTTTTTTCTTTCCTGTTATTGTATCCAGGTTGTTAACCAAACTTGTAAAATTGTTGCTTATTTAGCTCTGTATTCATTTTAAAGCCTTTCTATTCGGCTTTTCAAGTAGCCAAGTCAGCTTACAAAGTAATAAAATATAATTAAGAATAAAATATACCAACACTTCAAAAGGAAAAAAAGCAAACAACAAAAGACAGCAATAAGAGAACCATGAGCAATCACCTATTAAATGCCTCAGACAAATAAAGCCCTTTTAATCTGGTGCCTGAGAGGTGACATTATTGATGTTGGGCAAACACTAAGCTGCCTCAGACAAAGGGCTGCAGTGGGGTTTCCAAGACTAGTCATAGGGAATAAGCAGACTTCCAGGAGGAAGAGGCAGGCCTTCAGATATCCTGTCAGTGGTTCCCAAATGTTGGTCCTCCAGGTGTTTTGGATTTCAGTTCCCAGATGCCCCAGCTAATTTGGCTTTTTTGTGTGTGTCAGCAGCTACTTGAGAAACTGCAAGTTGCTTCTGGTGTGAGAGAATTGGCCGTCTGCAAGGACATTGCCCAGGGGACACCAGGATGTTTTGATATTTTACCATCCTCTGTGGGAGGCTTCTCTCATGTCCCCGCATGGGGAGCTGGAGCCAATGGAGCTCATCCACATTCTCCCCAGATTCAAACCTGCGACCTGTCAGTCTTCAATCCTGCCGGCACAAGGGTTTAATCCATTGCACCACCAGGGGCTCCAGCTAATTTGGCTAATAGTCAGGAATTGTGAGAGCCAAAGTCCAAAAAATTGGAGAGGAAAGGTCTGGAAACCACTACCCAAGGATCAAAGCGTTCATGGTTTCATAGGTTAAACTTCACACTTTAAATTACACCAGGATTCAAACCAGATTCAAACCTGGAAGGCCAAACTTTGCCCATGTCTGCTCTAGAGACCAAACAACATACAGTAAAAGATTTTGCAGCAGTACAACCTTGATGTTAAATGAAACATGGACAATTGTGAGAAGTGGTGTAGCTGGCAGAGGTCACAGCCCAGTGGTAGAACACGTGCTTCACATGCAGAGCCCCTGGTACAATTCCCAGCATCCACAAGAAGCCTGCCTGACAATTGCTGCCAGTCAATGTTGGAAGGGTCTGGGTGGCAATGGAGAATTTAAGAGCAGGGCTAGAGGTTGTTCTGTAGCAGAGGGAGAATGTTACATAAATACAGCTGAATTCTAACCATGTAGGCTGGCAGGAAAGAACAGGCAGATCTGTCTGGCTCAGTTATATTTTCATGCCTGTTGTGAACGCTGGCTGCATTGCAGTGTCATTACAGGGCAGAACATGACATTCAGTACATCTTTTGCTGAATGCAAAGCAAAGAGACTCCCAGAGTTGTAAAGTAAACTTTATTTCAGTTATTATGAGCAGAGTCGTTTTTCTAAGATACTGAAATTTACATTACAACAGCTCGAGACGCTCCCACGTCCTCTGTGTTTGCCAAGAAAGATTGTAGACTGAAGATGATTGATAACATTTTAGGGATTTCTATTGCCTTGCAGTTTCTCCTTTCAGGAGAGGCATGGGACTTGCTGATGTGCTCAGTACAGATGAAATATATTTGTTATAACCATACAGACAGTATGCAATAATCCAACAACACGAAAAAGTCAACAGAGATTCAACCCAGTGACAGACATGATAGTGCAGTTCTAGCAGAATGTAGTAGACATAGAGGAATGTGGGAGATGGACATGATCCAACGTACCACAAGTAAAATGAAGATGGTTTGGCTCCATCCACATCTTCACAGGTGCAGAGGCAATGCAAGAGACACTGGAGTGAAAGAATTATGTTTCTGCTTCCTATTGCCACTCAATTTTTTCTTGCCAACATACGATTGAGGCATGGCTGTGCACCTCCCCTGGAGAGGACGATCCTGAAGTGAGTTTCATCTTAACTTGTCTACTTGATTTTTATGTTGATTGCTGATCTTAATTGCTATATCATTACATCTACATCTGTTGTGAGTTCACATGAATTCATATTAAGTGCTATAACTGTAGAAAAGATATAGTCATAAACCTGATCCAACAATCAAACTTAGTAGGGACATTTTTTAGAAATGGTCTTTGACAATGCCCTTCATCCAAAGATTAACATTAGACTTTACCATGGTTAGGTTCTTGTGGGTTTTTGGGCTATAGGGCCATGTTCTAGAGGCATTTCTCCTGACGTTTCACCTGCATCTATGGCAAGCATCCTCAGAGGTACCTAGAACATGGCCCTATAGCCCGAAAAAACCCACAAGAACCTAGTGATTCCAGCCATGAAAGCCTTCGACGATACATTTTACCATGGTTTTTCAGCTCAGGATTTACCAGCCCTAGAAAGGTGAAAACAATTTCAACTTCCCAAAAAAAAAAAACCCGCTCAGTACACATGGGTTTTAGTCCTGTCCCACAGAGTTCTTCAAATGCTTGGGTCAATCCCTATCTTGTGTTGGTTTATATGGCAAAAGTCAATTGTTTGGGGGGGAAAAAACTATTAATGTGTAATATTCCTTGCTTTTTGCAGGCTTTAAGAAGCCATGCTTCCAAGTTGTACAAGTATAACAGGTGTACAAGTTTGGAAATCAATCCTTTCGTAACCACCTTTTTAGAGGATGTGGAATAATGAAAAAACACAGTAACTATTGAAGACTGAGTTGGCAGGTCTGTGCAAATTATACTTCACTATCCTACCCTGAGTCTACAGTAAATGCATATAGAAATAAGGTATCTATACTGATGAACAATTACATGACCCTTCACTGAGCAAGATCGAGATCAATATTCAGACAAGAAAAATGTAAAGCACACTAATTTGCAAAAGTATTATCACAGAAGCCTTATTATTTGATCCAGCAAGAACAGAGAAACTATGGCTCTCATCGTGTGGGTAATGGCTGATGGGAGTTATCATTGAATAATGACTGCAGGAGCACAGGCTCCCCACTCCTGTGAGACACCTTGATACCTTGCAGGTATTACAATCAGCTCTTGTGACAACAACAACACCACATTTTCTAGGGAACATGAAGAAACAAAACACATGGATGGCTATCTTTCACAGCTGTCAAATGACTACACAGACGAGTGGCTGGACTGGCTTGCTACTACTTCCAAAAAGTAGTCAAGCCTAAGCCAGCCACCAAGTAGTGGTCACATGTAATAGTTTTTAATATATCTTCAGAATTAATATACCACTAACTGTAGCAGAGAAGAACAGCAGTTAATGCCACACAAATGTTTACATCCAGAACAAGTAGATCACAGATAAGAAGTCCAGTACCACAGACTGTACAGAAAGACAGAGGATTACGTATATGCTAGATCAGTCCAGACTGGAAAATGTCTTTCCTCTGATACAAAGTTTGTTGAAGCCAAGGAATTTTGATTTTAAAATCTTGCTGTAAGCCCAAATGACAATTTCCACAGCGGCCTTGGACGGTTCATACAATAATGGAAAAGGAGGATTGATGTTATTTAACCAACTAACCTGGATGCATTAAGTTTTTCGTGAGTAGTAAAAGATGAAGACAATTTCAGCAGAAAGGGATCAGTTGCAGAGACTACAGTTCAGCATCATAGGACAGTTTTGTTTTGTATGTTTTTTTTTAAAAAAACGGACATGTATTCAACATAATCACCAAACCCAGAACAAAGGGCAACAATATAGATATTGCTGCAATCCCAGAGTCAGAAATAGGGCAAAATTTGCTAGATTCTCCTTTCTCAAGACTCCTTGGGAATACATTTGAAGCATGATTATTTCGAAGTCAGTTTTGAAAAAGTAGGTCTTCAAAATCTTCCACCCGCCTACTTCTTCTCCTCTTTCTCATCACAGGCCCTGGAACCAGCCTCAATCCCAGGATGAATAGAAGAGCGAGTGAAAAGGTCAGAGTTCTGGCTGAAGGCTGCCCATTGAAAGGAGGCTTCCAGACAGGGGTCCATCCTCTTTGGCATGAAAGAGCCCAGTTTCCCTTGCCATGACGACACATGAAAAAAGCATCATATTATGTTAAACTAAGATGGACCAAGTAATAGAAGGAGCAGTGTTGAGGTCAAAATAAGTGAAGAACGACAATCTCTGGAAGAACCAGTCAAATCGGATTGGTTATCCTTAAGAACTGGGAACTTCTTTTCCTCTGATCCCTTGAAAGCAAAAGAGAGAGGAAATTGAATTCATGTTCAGACACCTTAGGCCTGCCTTAGGCCAGGTATGGGCAAACTTCAGCCATCCAGGTGTTTGGACTTCAACTCCCACAATTCAGAACGGTGGGAGTTGAAGTCCAAAACATCTGGAGGGCCAAAGTTTGCCATGCCTGCCTTAGGTCGGGACCCCTGAGCAAGTCATGAAGGGGTTTCAGAGGGGTCACCAAAGACCATCAGAAACACATATTTCTTTTTTATTCATAATTTTTATTTTTTTATAGTGTATATAGGAAACAAAGCAAATGAACAAAAAGAAAAAAAGAAAAAGGAGAAAAATAAATATACAAAAGATTTACAAAAGGGTGTGCATTCAGTGTTCGTTAAACATATGAAGAATCAGACATATTTCTGATGGTCTTAGGAACCCCTTTGGCAGAGAAGGCTAAAGATCTCTCTGTCTTTCCTTCTCTTCCTACAACTACATCTCCCAAAATCGTGGGTCAATCCTCCCCAACATTTTGCCATGTTGGGTCTGTGTGCCAAGTTTGGTCCAGATCCATTGTTGTCTGGGTTCAGTGCTCTTTGGATGCTGATGAAGTGCAATTTCCATATGCCAAGGTCAATCATCCCCAAACCATGCCTGTATTCACAGTTGGCCACATTGGGTCTGTGTGCCCAGTTTGGTTCAGATCCATAATCGGTGGGGATGACAGAGTTCTCTGGATGCAGGGAGAACTACAATTACCATCATGTTGCATCAGCCCTCCCCCCAAACCCCACCAGTATTCAAAGTTGGTCATACTGGGTATTTGTGCCAAGTTTGGTCCAGATTCATCAATTCGGTGCACATCTGTCGATGTGGGTGAACTATAACTCCCAACCTCTGAGGTCATTCCCCTCAAAACCCCACTAGTATTCAAAGTTTGGCATGTTGGGTATGTATAGCAAGTTTACTAGTTCCATCACCAGTTTGGTACAGAGTGCTCTCTGAATGTTGGTGAACTACAACTCCCAGAATTCCCCCTCCCTCCCTCCTCTCTCTATATGCACACATACACATGTAATTCTGGGAGTTGTAGTTCACCTATATATATATATAGAGAGAGAGAGAGGGGGGGGGGTGGTGGTGGTAAAGGTTTTCCCTTGACATTAAATCTAGTCATGTCTGACTCTGGGGGATGGTGCTCATCTCAATGATTGCATGGAGTGCCATTACCTTCCTGCTGAAGCAGTGCCTATTGATCTACTCACATTTGCATGTTTTCGAACTGCTAAGTTGGCAGAAGCTGGGACTAACAGCAGGAGCTCACGCTGCTTCTCAGATTCGAACGGCCAACCTTTTGGTCAACAAATTCAGCACCTCAGTGGTTTAACCTGCTGCACCACCAGGGGGCCATACACACACACACACACAAGTTTCTGATCCCAGTTGTGCTATAGTACATACCTGATACATTTGTGAGGTGAAAACTGTGCTGGTGCCATCTCCCTGGATGTTTAGGGAGGGTGTGAACTGCGATTGGTCCTCAATGTCTGTATTCACCTGGTTTAGACCCATCTGGGACTGGATTGCACTTTCTGTGATATTGAGAAATCAGAGTAAAGTATATGATGACCTCAGGCTATATATACAGTCAGGACCAATTCTATGTTCTAAGGAGGCACTGACCTTTAACTGCAAAAGTGCTGTACTGGAAAAATAATAAAATATTCCAGCTGTCTTGAAATCCCCGATGGGATTCTGATCTAAAATAAGCAGACTATAGACTATGAAGTGTTCCATTGCCAGGAATGGTCAAACTAAAACTGCATTTATTTTTAATAGTATGGCGTAGTAGTTTGAGATATAGACTATGATTCTGGACACAGGCTTAACATTTCCATTCAGCCATGGAAATCAACACGACAATTCTGGGTAAGTCACACTCCCTCAGCCTCAGAGGAAGGTAAAGGAAAACACCTTCTTGGCTACCATAAGTCAGAAACAACTTGAAAACACACAGCAATATAGGAGGAGAGGCAGATGTCAATATTTTCCTATATGCTCATATTTTCAAATGTTCAGACTTCTTGGAGGAATTGCCTACTGCAGTGACGTATTTATTTATTTGCTTTCTCCTGATATAGGACTCAAGGCTGCTAACAGCACACATGACACAATACCAATTTAAAAACAGAGTAAAAGTATGTAAATATGAATACAAAAAATAAAAACAATTACATCTTTTGGGTCATGAAGCATAAAAATTAAAACACAATTAAAGTAGCTTGTAGCTCTGTTTATGTGTGTGTTTGCCTTAAAGTTATGCAATAATAATAACAACAAGAATTTCAGCAGATGTCGCTTGCATTAATAAGCAACACCTTTTAAAATATCATCTTCTACACAACTACTAAATATGAATACAGGAGACCTATTCTCTTTTCCATCTAGCCATCCTATCCATTACAGGAGCACTTTGACCATTTCTCCATCGTCAACTTATTCCTTAACTTACTCTAACTGAATCTACTACTAGGCTCCAAACCTGTTTCTCACCCCAGAATCTACCTGGGAAACGGAGCAACCAGTGTTTGCAAAACGCTCTCTAGTCCTTCCCTGCTCCACTTCCAAAGGGGAGAAGGGCACTTAAGAGCAGGGACCGCATCTTAACTGTATGAGCACAATAAACTTCTCCCCAAATAAAATCAAACAAATGAAAAGGTGAAACATTAAATATTTAAATCAACAAGTTTGGTTCTTTATTTGATGTCCCCGCTTTTACTGTCATAAATATTTAAATCTTCATAAGGCTTCACATTATAAGACATGTACTGACATTGACTGAGAAGGAGAGGAGGTCTTGGACACAGCTCTTACTAATTTTCTTCTCTCTCAGCATCAAAGGATTGCTGTTACACTGTTCAGCTAGTTTATACTGTACAATTGAAATTGTCAGCACCATAATGACTAATTAATAGTATAAAAGCACAAGTGAAAAATTCCTAAATTGGAGTAAAGGTTCATCTAGTAACTGATGGAATGCCTAGATTAGCGTAGCTTTGCATGCTCCCAAGCGTTTCCCCATTGGGAGAGGGGCTATGTGGCAGACAAAGCACATTATTAATGAGAGATGACAGCAACCTCTCCCTACACACCACTGGGCATGGCAATTGGATATGTCTAAATGGTACAGGATTCCCTCTCATTTATTTCACCCAGTGGGGAGGAACAGAGGACTCGCTTCTCTAGAAGTATGAACTGGGCAGGGCCAGGGGAAGAGCTCCAGATTCAGAAGCTGTCTCTGTCTGCTAGCTGACTCTTATGGTTTTCCTGAAAATAGAATCCATAGAGTTGGAAGAGATCCCAAAGGCCAGGCATGTAGCCGGGGGGGGGCTCGGGGGGCTTCAGCCCCCCCCGAAATTCTCATGGTGGTTCGCGAAAAGGCCTTACTGGTGGATTATTTAAACTGTTATGTTTATTCATATCATGATCTGATCACCATACTCAATATATCCCATATGCATGGGGGTATTGGGGTAATGATACAAAAGGTTTGCTAGGCTAGACCCTCTTTCACTCAGACTCAGCCCCCCCCCGACCCCCCCCCCCAATTTAGCCCCCCCCCCCCCCGAAACGAAATCCTGGCTACGGGCCTGCCAAAGGCCATCTAGTTCAACCTCCTGCCATGCAGGAATACATAATCAAGCCTGTCCTGAGAGGTTTATATCAGGTATATAGCCTCTTAACATGGAAGTTTAACTTAGCTTAACAGAAAGGTGGCATAATCTAGTAACCATCACATCATGCTATCTTGAGCTCCTTGGTGGGAAAACAAAATATAAATATAATGCACATGTGAAGTCTTGTGGCCAAAGGATAACTACTTCTGAGAATGGTACCCTCCAAAAGTAACTTTTCCAAGTTCTTCATTTTGCAGAAAAGTTATTATTTTCTTTCTTTCTCCTGAATCAACTGGCAATTGATTTCATCTGGTGAATTTGTGTTCTCAACTGATTTTTTCTATTCTAATTTTGTACTTTATCTATATTTTATTATTTCAAGCTCCCTAAATTCTACTTTTGCAGAAAAAGTATAATATAAATGTAATAATTTATTATTCTAATTAGTACAATACTTACTATTCATTTAGTCAGCCTTCCACATTTGCAGGTTTGGCATACATGGATTTAATGATTTGCAAATTTGCTGTTTCCCAATGTAGTCTGATGCTACTGCTGTCCTGAATTTCACTGGTTTGAGTTTGGGAAGCAGTTTACCAGGGAGATTGTCAGGGAGATAGCAAGGCAAAGCAGCCACTGTCTCCCTTGCAAATGGCTTCTCTGAAGGAGCTGGACTTGATGATCTTTCTGGTCTATTCCAGTTCTATGATTCTATGAACTTCACTGGTACAAGGAATTTTGGGGATGACTGTCCCATCCCAATAGTAATTTATAGTTTTTCCACTTTCATGAGGGTTTCTGTGCCCCTAGCCCCCGCAATTGTGGATGGTCAATTGGATTTATTATAATTATAATGAAGGTAGAATATATTTTAATTGTGTATTATTAGTAATAACAACATAAGAAATAAAATGTATAATAAATTAATTAACATTATGACATTGGTGGAGTAATGGGCTAGATGCACCCTGTGGTCTGCTAATCAGAATAAGGCAGTCTCTGTGTCCATTTGCACTTACTTAGACATCTGTTGTCAGCAAAGGATTCAAGGATTTGATCACAGTCCTCCTTCTGATTGCCACTGTTCTCGCAGGAGCACCAGAGAGTGACATCAGCCGTGGAATTGTTGATGTAATTGGGGGTCATGGGTGTACCTGTTTCAGGTTCAAAGAAGACAAAGCCAGAGTTTGCTCATGCACAATCCCAAATCAGCAGAGACAGAACCACCAGATTATGTAAACTTGACATAAACATATTGTCTGTAATCTAGCAAAGAATTCAGAGAATCATAACCTCTTAAAAATATCAATACAATATTAGGGGGGGGGGGGAGCTAAAAATATTTTTCTTCCATTCATTACCAGCATCCTGTTAGTGATTTGCCAACATTATGCCTCATCTTGAACTAGGTCTAGAGGCTAATCAACTGCTCTTGCTGGAGCCCCTGGTGGCGCAGTGGGTTAAACCCTTGTGCCAGCAGGACAGATACAGGTTCGAATCTGGGGAGAGCGCAGATGAGCTCCCTCTGTCAGCTCCTGCTCCCCATGCAGGGACATGAGAAAAGCCTCCCATAAGGCTTTTGCAGATGGCCAATTCTCTCACACCAGAAGCAACTTGCAGTTTCTCAAGTTGCTCCTGACACACACACAAAACAACCTGCTCTTGCTGCACTGCATCCCAAACCTTCCACCAATCCCCAGGAGGGACTTCTGTTGCTGTTCAATGTTGCTGATGAGGGAGGTGATTCAGACCTTGGATACCTGACTGCTTTGAGCTCCTGGGGAAAGAAAGATGTGCATGTTTTTCATATGCATTCATATGTTTTATGTAATTATGTTGTTGTTTATTGTTTTTGTTTTCATTTTTATTTTGCTGTAATTTGTTGTTTGGACTTTGCCTCATGTAAGCTCCCCGAGTCCCCATCGGGGAGATGGTGGCGGGGTATAAATAAAGTTTATTATTATTTCATTATTATTATATGAGAGCGCACCCTCAGTTCCTCTCCCAAGCACAGTATTAAATGAAGCAAGCTACCATAAATGTAGCTTTCTCTAACCTCAGCAGTACAGAATAGCAACAGGAGGTCTCTCCAGGGCTTGTTAGCTGCTGGGTAGAGAGAAGGCATGGAACTGCAGGTGTCAAGTGATGCATGCATGTAGGATCTTGGTCCTGAAGGGCATCTACACTGTAGAATTGAGGCAGTCTGATACCACTTTAACTGCCAAGACACAATGCTATGGAATCCTTGGATCTGTCATTTGATAAGGCTTAAGTACTTTTTGGTGAGGAAGGCTAATACCTTGCAAAACTATAACTACCATGATTACATAGCTTTGAAACATGTAAAGGCTAAAGTTAAAAGTGTGTCAAACTCTATAGTGTAAATGTCTTCTTACTCTGCACATGAAGCAGAATGAATTTCTATGTATACACCTAATCTGAGCAAATGCATCTATTTATACTATTTATTCTAACTGCAAGAAGTTATTTACACACAATGAACAGAAGCCTACATATAATCCTGTATTTATTACTATTTATTACTCCGCACAATCATGCTTCATCACCCATTGGCTTTGCAAAGTCTTCTATTGGCTCTTAAGCAACAGGACCAATCTATGGACATTGCAGATAATTAGGGAGTTCAATGCTATGCTTTCAAAGGATCATCATCAATACATGTTTTTAAAAGCAGGAATGAGAATCATGTGGCTTCCAAACTTTGCTGTACTACAACTCTCAACATTCCTTATCAATGGCACTGCTGGCTTGGACTGCTGGGACCCGGAGTTCGACAAGGATGTCTGCATGATGTGCACCCCTGGATTAGACTAGCCCACCTATGGACACTCCTCAAATGCAATGCTGCTATGTACAAAGTGATTAGATCCAGAAGTATTAACTTTGGGTAAAATACAGCTGTTTCTCCAACTTCACAGAGAGCATCAAAATGTTATAGTGCCCAGCTGTCTTTATCAGTGGATGGGCTTTATTATTCAGTATCATCTAAAGCTATGGTCAGAGAAGTTTACCAATCCTTCCCTTTCGCTGTACCACACACCTTATCTAATACCATGATGGTTTGATAAGATTTTCTACTGGATAGGTCTACTTTAAACCCATCATATCTTCCTGAGCCCAACACATACCAATCATCCCCATGTAAGCCTCCAGGCATGCAGCGTGATTGTTGCGGCGGAAACAGCCATCTGAAGATGTGTCTAAAGACTTGCATTGTTCTTGGAAGTCAACCAGCCGAGATCTAAGGAAAAACAAGTATTGGCACATGAGCCTCTTTCTCTTCCCAGAACAACCCTTTGAGGGATCTGTCTTGTAGTCCAAGTAAATAAACCAAAATCGTTTTGTATGCATAAACAACCATAGTAATAGCACCTTACCCCAGAGGAATACTTATGATCGCAGAAAACAACCAATGACCCATGGCTTGGATGGGGATTCTGAAGCAATGCTTCCTCAGTCCTGCTTATGCTATTGAAATGCATCCAAATTGTGCAAAGTAAGATTTGCCCCACAATTTACCGTACTTTCACAGCTTCTCTGTATGTATTTTGTAAAATGTAGATGCATTTGGTAAAATGTAGGTGCCTTTAATCAGCTCACACAATCCCAAAGTGTTAAATCCTTAGTTCTACATGGAGTCCAGTTTTATTTATGGCTCTGATGAACACAGTGGGTCTGGTGATGTGCTTTTTCAAAAAACCATATTTTAGAATAGAGTGTTTATGGTGATCCAGCACTATATAAATAAGCCAAGTTGGCGGGAGGATTCTGGGTTTTGTAGTAACTTCTACAAGCCGTATTATACACAAAAACAAACTTATCCAAGCTCTGATAAATTGTTAGAAAATTCTTTGCACACTATTAGGCTTGTGTAATATTGGAAGGTAACTGGGGTTTTGCCTGATTCTTGGATAGGAGATCAGCAAAGTACACTAGAGATCTCCATGAAGGACTAGAAGATTCTTGCCTAAAGTCCTGGAGAAAGTTGACAATGCTGTGCCAAATTGAGCAACTGTCTGGCTCAGTACAAAATGGCTTCCTATGTTCCTCAGTGTAGGCCATGACAAACTGCCCACTGCCTGCCATAAAACATGCTATGGTAGCCACCTCAATGCACTTGGTGAGAGACTTACTTGCAGATATGGTTCTTGAGGCAGGAGTCCAGCAGGAGGAGGCAGTTTGGCTTGCTGTTGCTCTGGAAAGAGCACTCGGGAACAATGGTGTTCCAGCGTCGCTTCCCACAAACATCATCTTGACATGGGCAGAAGAGCAGTGGCTTGGTGATTTCCATGCTAACCCTCTCAAAGAAATGTCTCAGGCCTCGGTGGCATTTCCTCTGGTCACAAGGGTGGTCCTCTACACTACAGATCCGTGCATAGTGTGTGCGTTGGCGCACACACTTGTGGTCCAGTTGGCAAACATTAGCAGCTTCCAGGCAAATGTTTGTGCTGTCCCCAAATACACGAGAACCTAGGTCACAGAAACACAAGGAGAATACAGCAAACTCCTCCATAGGCAGATTGAAGGCTCAATAAAGTAATCTCTAGCAAGAATCTGTGAAAGTAGGAGTCATTATTTCCCAATTTACTTCCACTTCCCCTTTCTCCTGTATCAAAATTTTGATGCAAGCCTGCACTATTTTAGACTATCTGGGAGAAAACAGGTCTAAGAAAGTTCAGTAGCTTTGAAAATGAATTAAACAAGAGTTGTCTGGATTAGAATTTACAGTCTCAATATAACAAAAATAACATAAATTTATTATTGTTTTTCTGCTTTTGACTATATAACAATGATACAGAGAATCTGCTGCATTCCAATAAAAAGATTGAAAGATTATTCACAAAATTGTATTAGCTTCAGAGTAAATTGGGCAGGTACAAGTCAGTGGGTGCCACATCAGCTCCCAGCAGGATCCTTGAAAGCCAGCCTGTTATCCTGATATTCTGTTATCCAAAATTGTTTGTGGAGGCTAAAAACACATGCACACATACTACAGAGTCTGAGATGATTATTTGACTATGTTAATCATGCTCCATGCAATCATGCCGGCCACATGACCTAGAAGGCATCTGTGGACAACTACTGGCTCTTCGGCTTAAAAATGGAGATGAGCATCACCCCCCAGATTTGGAAATGACTAGACTTAATGCCAAGGGGAAACCTTTACCTTTTGTGGGCTCTTTGTGCTGTTTTAAGTGCAATGAAGGACACTATTTAACAAGGAAGTAAACTGGAACTCAACTTCTGGCTTACTTCCTTGTTAAGAAAAGGTCTTTCCTGGTCCAAAAATAACTCTGTGTGTGTGTGTGTGAGAGAGAGGGGGGGGGGGGAGAGAGAATGTAGAAACTTTGCCCCTGCAGCATGTTGAGATTCTTTTGCCAAATATTTTTTTGGGGGGGGGGGGGAATTGGTAGATGATCCTTTGGAGGTGCTGCATGTAAGTAACCCAAGGCTGCACCTTCTCTGCTCCCATGGAAGGTGATTGTCTATTATTCTCCCTGACAAAACTGAATCCTCCTCCTTTCGTCCATTTTTTWAATCCAGCTTCTTTTCTTGGCTACCTTCCCATATGAGCAATGGGGATCATAGGATTGTTCCACAAACTCCCAAGTTAGTTTACATATCCTTCTTGTTTTCCTAAATCCACCTGTTGTCATTAAAGCACTCAAGACCTCTAAGATACATTTAAAGGCGTAACTACCTGTAAATTGATTCCCTCTTTTCACATACATTCCTTCTTGAACCTACTTCCTAATGAAAAGAAAGGAAGTTCTACCTGAGGCCTGGGTTGCCAGCTTGTTGTACTTGGTCTTTGAAGACTCTTCACTTGCTGCAGCCTCATAGGGAGACACCTCCAAATGAAAGTCAGCTGTGCAGGGTTTAAAATAAAATACATTCTTGTGCATAACTAAAACATGACCAAGTCTACCATATTTAAAGACTGCATTGTTTTGCCTTGTTCCAATATCATACTTCAGAGATTGTGAGGAGATCTGGCAGGGCATGTGCATCTCTTTATCCAACAATATCTGACGAAATCCAAGAAAGCTTACGTTGAATAAAACCTATATTTACAGTTGCAACCGTTGTTAACATTTGTTGAAGATCCCATGCAGCATTACTGTCAGAGTAAAGATTTCTATAAGTTGAATTTTCTATACTCTGAGTGCTAAAGCATATTTAATTTTATTTATTTATTTAAAACTTTTATATCCCGATCTTCTCAACCTCTGTAAAGGGACTCAGACCGGCAAGTATTTCTGCAAAAGATCTAATTTCATTGGCAAACTCTGAAAGAACTCATAATTATCATTTTATTTATGGGTTAATTTAGTGAGTTAGAATAATGTAGAAGAATAGTTTTGGCAAAATTTCCTAATTAACCTCCAGGGTCAATGCTCCGTCCAGGAGTACACTGAAACTGCGAACCTGTATCTTCGGGGGGTGGAGGGATAGGATGTAAATCCATCTAACACTGGCTGAATCCCTATTCCCTGTTCTACCTTCCAACTGACTAAGAGTATCTCTTGGGGTGAAAAGGAGCAGTAGAACTTAGTATAATCCACATATTAATAGCACTATCTCGCAAAACATTAAATGATCACTCCCAGCATGGAAGACAAAAGAGAGCTCCAACTGCCCACAGGTCAATGACCAAGGGTTGAACAGTAATCCCCAGCAGCACCATCTGGGTTTGCCCCTCCAAGAAGGAATGTAGCCAGTATAAAACAGTGCCTCTAAGGGCCCTTCTACACTGCCCTATATCCCAGAATATCAAGGCAGAAAATCTGCTTTGAACCAGGTTATCTGAGTCCACACTCAGATAATGTGGGATTTTCTGCCTTGATATTCTGGGATATAGAGCCCCAAGCCCCATTCCAGTGAAGCAGCCCAGAAAGAGACCAGTCAATGCTAACGAAAGCTACTAACAGAACTCACAAGGACATACTCCTCCTGTTCAGTCAGTCCCCTGTGCAAGTCTTCCACCAAGATGACCAAAGCTGTCTCTAGCCCATAGTCAGACCCAAAACTAGAGTGAAAGGGGTCTAGATAGTCAATGTCATCCAGAAATTCCTGGACTGAGAGGTCACCACATGCTTCAGTACCTTGGACAAAAGTGGAATGTTGAACACTGGCCAATAATTACCCATTATAGAAGGAGAATGAATTCTGCTGCAAATTAATATAAAGTTGACCTGGAAAATCGACAAAATTCCTAGAGGGGACATAATTTGTTGGATGCGGGTAGGGCAAACCTTGGGTATCAGTCCCATAGGTAGGAAGGAGTCAATACTGCATATCAGTACAAGGAGATACATTTTCTTTCTTTTACTTTTGCCAATTAAGTAGTTATGTATCCACCCACATATAAGGAGAGTGGTTTTTTCGCCTCCTGAATGATTTTTACATCTTTGCTTTGGTTGTTGTATTTTTCTGCATGGCTAATACAGCTAATCCTGACTATGTTTTCTGAATGAAAAAGTTCAGTCGCTGCTAGCCAGTGCAGAACAAGATCGGAAATCTTAGCCTCCCAGATATTTTGAGCTACATTTCCCACACTTGACATGGCCAATTATAACAGGAGTCGGGGGAGGGGGCTCTCAATTAATATTCCTCTCATTCTCCTGTCACTAACTGTACAAAATGAGTGAACAAAAACTTGATTTTACCTTGTGGTAAAGTAGGATGAATAGTCCAGTAGATACGCAGGCAGCGCTCCTCCTTTTTCCGTGTACGCCGAGGACACTTGCATTCCTGAAAATAACTATTCCTAATAAAGGTTTTTGCCTCTAGGCACTTGTCCTTGGCTTCATAGCTGCTCTTAGCAAGGGACTGGGAACACTGCTGGAAGGTGAGATAGGTGGCATTGCAGGAAGGGTCGGTCATGCAAAGGTTCTCAGCAGTGATGCAGTTGTGTGGCTGTTCAAGGGACAAAACAAGGCCTCCTGTTCAATTAGAGAAAATGTGTTAGCATTTTTCACATGTATGGGCCACAGACACCTTCTTGTTTCACAATTCAGGTTAAAGGTTTTTTAAAAACTTCTCAGAATAAGTCTGGAATGTTTATTGTGTTTTGATATCATTATCACAATCACTAATATGTATTAGATGCATCATTCATTTCATTTCAGAAGCACTGTCAAGATTACTTTATGTAAATTAGTTCAAATGTATGCTCTGCCTACCATTTTCTGTACAACAGCCAAATAATAAACCTGATGTTTCCATATGAATTTTATTTTTCTGTTGCAATATATATTAACAGACGAGTTCCAACATGTCTACATTTATCTGTATCTTCCTGTCACAATTGCTAAGAAGTAACAATGCTTATTCAGTATTAAATGCTTTTTGGAGCAGAACAAAATGACTTTTAAAACCATTTTGCTATTATAGTGTCTTTTTTAAAAGCAGCAGAGCCTAATTCAAGTTGAACTATGATTTACTGTTGAAATCAGCCAGAATTAAACTCTGGATGACAAAAATGGGCAGCTACTTGGTGTGTTTTGAGGCTCTGCTCAAAAGCTCTGGCCTTGCACTTTGGCTAAGATGTCAAAAACGGAGGATTTCATGGTTTCATATCAGGCAGCAAACAATAACTGCTATTCAAAAAACCCAAACTAGCCAGTAGTCTTAATATGTAAATGGAAACTAGACTGATGAGCAGACAATCTGAATCATTCATAAAGGTCAAATGTTCCTAATATATTCTTGAGAAGTGATGACTACCGAGGGATAAGAAATACAGTTGACTTTCTGTATTGAAAGATTCTACATCCATGGATTCAACTCACCACCATTTGAAAATATTGTTTAAAAATCCAAAAAAGCAAGCCTTGATTTTGCCATTTTAAATAAGGGACACCATTTTACTATTCCATTACATATAATGGGGCTTGAACATCCTGGATTTTTGTATCCATGTGTGGTCCTGGAAAAAAGCTCAAGTGGATACCAAAGATGCACTGTATTGTCCATACAATCTTGGTCCCATTCCTTAAAGTTTATGATCTTTATGACATACCATTTGCCTTCCTCACTGCACCCTGGATTTAGTAAGATGGGCCCTTGCTATGACTTGAAATATGCCAGTGTCTGTTATATACATTATATCTAATGGATATAACAGAAGTCCCACTGTTTTGGAATAACTCAAGACCCACCACTATCTTCATGACACATTCGCCATTGCACAGAGATGCTAGAACACTAACGCTGTGCCACTGGAACAGACCTGTTGTGTAAGGTGTCCATATCACTATCCTCTGTATGGCCAAAGAACTACATCTCTAAACACATGCAACCTGTTAAGATGACATTAACTCCAAAACATGTTAGCTGACATGGGGCCATAGCCATTCTCTTGAGGGTTGCTTGTTCTCAACCCTCAGGAACATCCCTAGATGCTATTGCTCAGGTACCACTGCTCCACAGATTCTGCCTGTGCTATCCCACAAAATGCCCCATTCTTGCCCTGACATCAGCAACAGGTAGATTCTGCCTCAAAGCAGCAAGTACAAGTCTTAAGTCTGTGCAACAGCTGACATCTTTATTAGTGGTTATGCACAAGAAAAATGGGGCATTGTCTTGAGAACATGGTTGTTGGGTGCAGCCATAGTTGCCACTTCCAGGGCATTCTGAATAGAGGAAGGGGTGCCATGGTTGCCTAGCCAGACACCACTATCAACAACAGAACAGGAGGGGTGGGTGGCATGGCAAGGTGTAGCTTTTGCTTCTTTTTCTGCATGTATCAAGTTGGGGAGTTATTTTCTGTGTGGAGCTCTGGCTCTCAAGTACTCGTATGTGTGCTATTGCGAATGAGGGTAAAGAACCAATTAGTTGAGGCCACTGTGTTGCCCACCATCTTCTATCTGCGGAGGTAGCAAAGTGACCTAGTAGACATGTCCCATCATCAGCCAATGGTGACGTGCTCCCTCCCTGGGTGCCATGGAAGTGTTGCTGGCACTTTAGCCTATGCCAGATGAGCCTGATGACCATGGGCACTGAAGCTGTGACTGTTATTTTTCACCCATCTGTATCATTTTCAGAGTGGCACCTTTTCTCATGTGCATTCTCAGCTAAACAATGGTAGTTTTTGTCAGACAACTGTTGAATGTATTACTTGTCTTTCCCTGCCATGATAGGTGTGCTGGATTGCTTGGTTAACCTCTATTTAATCTCCATTCTGAAAAGGCACTATACATAAGCATTCTTACTTATTTTGAATTAATTATTTAGCAGTCTCTCAGCAACATCAATTGCTCAGGGTTTGTCCACCTATGAAAGAGAGAGTTCATTCACACATTGCACTTGATATTCTGTGCTTAAAACCCACAGATCTATAATCTCAGTGTCTTTGAGGCCAGAGACCACAAACTCTTCCATGGGGCTGTATTTATTTATAACTTATCACGTGGTGTGGTATAAATACAGCCCCATGGAAGAGTTTGTGGTCTCTGGCCTCAAGGTGGCTAACAAGGATGCTTAAAGTATAGGACATCGTATGTGAACCATGTCTTGTTGTAACCATAAAGGCTAACATATAATGACATTAAAGGAAATTGAAGATTTCTCTGGAAATAATAAGCACCTCTCAATGAAAATAATCATCATGTCTCAATATACATAGCACCACACAGGAATAAAATGGTACACTGCATTATCTATTATATTATGTATATTATGTACTACTTGCCTATGAGAAGTAAACAAAAGAAGGAAAGTATAATGGGTTGAAAATGCATGATATTAATTCATGTAAGCATGGGAAGTCTAATGCTACTTACAAGAGTCTAGACCAGGCATGGGCAAACTTTGGTCTTCCCAGGTCCAAAACACTCGGAGGGGTGAAGTTTGCCCATGTCTGGTCTAGATGAATCAAACCAAAGCCCCTTTTATAGTCGAGCATCCCCTTTCTTCCTGTGACTAATCTAATGCTACTTAATACTGCTGCTACTCCTACATAGGCTCAATGGTAGCATACAAAAAGATGATGCTACAACACATTTCACCACTAATTACTCTTTACTCTCTAATAGCGCTACTCATAATGCCTAGCCTACACAATGTCTTTCTAGATAAGAAGTTCAATACCTCAGAATGATCAGTTTTGTGGAAAAATAGGAGGGGGGGTGGTGTTCTGTTTTCTCATGCTTTTGTCACAAGCTTTCGTCTTGTATCTCTATGGATAACAAGAGAAATATGGTAATGAAGCAAAGACAGATTCACAGGATTCTAGTAATTCTCCTTGCAGTAGAGGATAACTCTGACTTATCTCAGTGCAAGTGGTCATACTCATACATATCTGCCACCAGAAAAGTTGGAGCCTCTGGTGCCGCAATGGGTTACACCCTTGTGCCGGCAGGACTGCTGACCAAAAGGTTGGTGGTTTAGATTCCAGGAGTGGGGTGAGCTCCTGCCTGTTAGCTCCAGCTTCTTATGTGGGAACATGAGAGAAGCCTCCCACAGGATGGTAAAACATCTGGGCATCCCCTGGGCAACATCCTTGCAGATGGCCAATTATCTCACACCAGAAGCAACTTGCAGTTTCTCAAGTTGCTCCTGACGTGGAAAAAAACCCCAGAAAAGTGGTAGGATATTGATAGTCATATGTCTACCTAAACATATCCCATTCTATGTTTTGTTTTTGTTTACGTACATCTGTACAGTGAATGCACAAGAAAGACTTTTATCTAATGACGAATCTCTCTGTGTGCTTCTTCAGAAGTAAAGCTCATTGTGTTCTGTCAAATGCACACAGGACTTCAGCCTTACATTTGTTCCAAGCCTTACCTCAATATATCCTAAGGAAACACATGGCATATATTTCCCCATGGCTTCATTATTACAGGCTGGAACAAATCATTTTCTAATGCTGTTTGTACAGTGTAGAAAACAGAACTGTGTTTCCGCATTTGACCTTCTCCCCTACAATCTATGCATCTGTCAATATTGTTAATGCAAAAAAAGTCAACAGAAAGAGCTTTGCCAATCAATGTATATTTCATGTTAAAATGGCAGATACAGGAAAACACAAAAAGCATCTTTAACGTATTTCCAATTCCCTGGTTTATGTGATTTCAAAATCTACATTAGATGGAGGTATGAATTTAATCCTGAGATGGGTCTTTTCTACTTTCTAGCAGTATTAATAATGTGTGTTCAATCATCGCACTATGGATATGTCTAATCAGTTTTCTCCTTTTGACAGATTGTATTGGGAAACTCCCAAAGAGAGCAAGGCAGAGATAGCTCTTCCTAAGGTTGACCCAACAAGAGTGAAATGAGGGGACGAGAAGCAATGTTAAGGCAAAGCCACAATCCAGCAGGCATAGGCTCAAAGATCGCTAGGAGACAACCTAAACAAAAGCCCCAATTCCTCCTAGGTGAAAATCCTCTCTTTAGATTCTATATTATAGAAACACAAACGAGTGGGTTAGGGTGCATATACAATCCAGGCATGGGCTAATTTGGGCCCTCCTGGTGTTTTGGACTTCAATTCCCACAATTCCTAACAACCTACTGGCTGTTAGGAATTGTAGGAGTTAAAGTCCACAACACCAGGAGGACCCAAGTTTGCCAATGCTTGGTGTAGATGCACCCTTAGGAACCTCACTTTAGGAAACCACCCCATCAGATCCAACCAGAGAGGAGACTCCCCCTTTGCTGCTTTGCTGTCGCTGAGCTGCCCTCATAACTCCATCCAGAGATGCTAGCTCTTCCTAAAATAGAATAATAGAATCACTGAGTTAGAGGAGACCTCATGGGCCATCCAGTCCAACCCCCTGCTAAGAAGCAGGAAAATCGCATTCAAAGCTCCCCTGACAAATGGCCATCCAGCCTCTGTTTAAAAGCCTCCAAAGAAGGAGCCACCACCACACTCTGGAGCAGAGAGTTCCACTGCTGAACAGCTCTCACAGTTAGGAAGTTCTTCCTCGTGTTCAGATGGAACCTCCTTTCCTGTAGTTTGAAGCCATTGTTCCACGTCCTAGTCTCCAGGGCGGCAGAAAAAAGGCTTGCTCCCTCCTCCCTATAACTTCCCCTCACGTATTTATACATGGCTATCATGTCTCCTCTCAGCCTTCTCTTCTGCAGGCTAAACATTCCCAGCTCCTTTAAGCTGCTCCTCATAGGTCTTGTTCTCCTGACTCTTGATCACCCTCCTCTAGGCAGATTCCAGCTTGTCAATATCTCCCTTCAATTGTGGTGCCAGAATTGGACACAGTTGTGGTGTGGTCTCACCAAGGCAGAATAGAGGGGTAGGATGACTTCCGTTGATCTAGACCAGGAGTCCTTAAACTAAGGCCCTCCAAGGTCATTTACCCGGCCCTCGCTCAGGGTAAACCTAAGTCTGAAACAACTTGAAAACACACAACAACAATCCTATCTCATCAGCCAAAAGCAGGCCCACACTTCCCATTGAAATACTAATAAGTTTATACAGTATTTGTTAAAATTGTTCTTCATTTTAATCACTGTATTGTTTTAAAGTGTTTTTGGCACTACAAATAAGATATGTGCAGTGCACATAGGAATTCATTCATGCTTTTTTTCAAATTATAATCCAGTCCTCCAACAGTTTGAGGGACTGTGACCTGGCCCTCTGTTTAAAAGGTTTGAGGACCCCTGATCTAGACACTATGCTCCTATTTATTCAGGTCAAAATCCTGTTGGCATTTTTAGCTGCCACATGACATTGTTGGCTCATGTTTAACTTGTTGTCCATGAGGACTCCAAGATATTTTTCACAGGCATCCCCCACTGTGTATATTTGCATCTCATTTTTTTCCTGCCTGAGTGGAGTATCTTGCATTTGTCCCTGTTGAACCTCACTGTGTTAGTTTTGGCCCATCTCTCCCATCTGTTAAGATTTAGTTTCTGACTTAGTTTCTGATAGGTAAGCATAGACAGGGAAAAGAGCAGCCTATACTCATTCCACTTTGTCCTGCCCCCCTTCTTATGAACCCTCTGAGGGCTCCAGCTCCGCGTGGAAATGATGGCCATGGATGCTGAGGGGGTCCTGCAACCGCGCTCCCTTGACTCGGGAGGCTGGCGGAGGGCAACAAGCGGGGCGGGCAGAGGCGCCCAGTGTCCCTGGCTGGCCCAGGCCCACCAAAGCCCCCTCCCTCTCTTTCTCTCCCCCCCCCTCTCTGTGCCCAGCCCATCCCACCAAACGCCGCCGACTTCCATCCAAAGCACGGAGCGCACAAAACGGGTCCCAAACCACCCACTGTCGCGCCCACGCCACGGCTCAATGCCACGGAATCACGGGAGTTGTATAGTTCGGCAAGGTCTTCTTCATTCAGCCTTCCCTGCCGAAGCGCGCTGGCGACTCAGCCCAGGGTTCCCCGGCCTTGAGCCGCGGCGGGTCAAGTGAGGTCAAAATGCCTGGATGCTACGACGTGGAGGGGCCCCGACCTCCTTCGGAAGGGCTCCCCTCCCTCCCTCCCCCGCCACCCCCTTTGTCTTCCTTCCAAGAGGAACACAGCGAGGGCGGCCCAAGCCCGGCTGGAGAAGGGGAAAGGGCGGGAGGCGCGGAAAATAGGACCGGGAAGAGGGAGAGAACCACTTTAGCTCGAGGATGACACACAATAGTTGTCACTGAGTGAGGCACCAGGACTCTTCGGCAAAGAAGGCTGGAGATCTTGCAAAACTGCAACGGGCGTGATTCCATAGCACAAAGTGGTACCAAACAGCGTTAATTCCACAGAGCAAACGCGGCCAAGCAACGGGTATCCCGAGTCCGACGGCGCACCCCTTTTTCCCCCTCGTTCTCCGAGGCTAACACTGGAAAATGCCCCGAGGACTCTTGTAACCAAAAGCAAGCCAGCGCCTCGTCCTACTAGACGTGAGATGCCCTGCCCCGCGCCGCCCCTTCTTCACGCGCCCCATCCACTGCCCATCCAAGCGAAACCCACCAGCTCGGGCGAGCAGCAGCCCCAGCAGCAGAGGCAGCCCCATGGCGGCGGGACCCGCGCTCTCTCTCTCTCTCTCTCTCCTCTCGGGGCAAGCGGAGCGCGTGCCTCACATGCTGGTCGTCCCGGGCACAACGAGTTGCGCGAGGAGCCTTCCAGCCCGAGTGCCTCTTCCGCCCTGGGCGCGAGACCTGCCAGGTGCGCGCGCGCTCGCTCTCTCGCTCGCGGTGGGGCGGGGCGGGGCAGTGCGAGGCAAAGAGGGAGCGAGGGGCGGAGCCATGGCTTGCCTGTCAATGGGAGGGAGGGGGTGTGGTGAAGGGGACCAGCCGCGGAAGGCTTCTCTTGAGCTTCACCTCTCGCCCCCTGCTCCTTTGGAAATTGGGAGCGGCCTCAGGGTCAGGTTCATGGGACCCACAGCGAGGCCCGCGCCCTCGAGGCTTCCATCCCCACGCGCGCTCCTGGGGGCACCTCTGCTGCCCAAGGAAGGCGGTTTGACACCTGCCCTGTCTCAAGGCTATGGGCTCCAGAGAGCTGTCGTGTTACACAGTCTTTAGTCTCTGTCAAGAAAAACTGGTGAGGAACTACAGCTCCCGGGATTGCATATAGAGCAGGCATGGGCAAACTTGGGCCCTCCAGGTGTTTTGCACAGGTGTTAAGCTTAAGCGGCTGAGGGGGAAAAGGAAAGGGTCTGAAACTGTTAGGAATGGTGGGTGTTGAAGTCCAAAACACCTGGAGGGGCCAAGTTAGCCCTTGCCTAGTACTGAGCCATGGTAGTTCAAGATGGCCAAACTGCATTCATTCTATAGCGGGGAATGGATGCACCCCTTGTGAGTCTCCCTTGCCTTCCTTCTTCAGCTCTTTTGAAGGCAAACACAAGGCCACAGAGAAGAAGGTCTGTTATGACTTTTGCAAACCCAGTATTGATCAGGCTGAGAGTACTTTTTAAAAACAAGCGTGATGGAGTGTGGTTGGGATTCTAGAGCAGTTCTGACAGGCAGAACCTCTTCCCCACTCAGCTATGGCTTCCCTCTGGGAAATCCTGGCCAGTCACTCTCTTTCAGGCTCAGATGGAAAAATCCCCTCTGAATAAATCTTGCTATGAAAAAAAAAGAGATTCACCTTAGAGTAGTCACAAGTCAGAAAAGCCTTTTTTGTGTCAGGAGTAACTTGAGAAACTGCAAGTTGCTTCTGGTGTGAGAGAATTGGTTGTCTGCAAGGACGTTGCTCAGGGGAAGCCTGAATATTTTATCAGTGGGAGACTTCTCTCATGTCCTTGGAGGCTCACAATAGCTTCAGGATGTAGCAGATAAGGATCGGTGGCCCTGGAGAGCAGAGAGGAACCTTCTCCACAGCCAAGGCCAGAGACATCACCTTTCAAGATGAGGAAAGGGCATTCTGTCAGCCTCCCTTTTCACAGAATTATAGACTCCTAGAGTTGGAGGGGACCCCAAGGCACTTCCGGTCTAACCCCATTCTGCCATGTAGGAAAAGCACAGTCAAAGCATTCATGACAAATGACCATCCAATCTCTGCTTAAAAAGCCTCCAGAGAAGAAGATGTCACCACACTCTGAGGCAGGACATTGGGATTTGGACCATTAGTCCAGCTAGCACAATGCTATTTTGGCCCAGCCATGATAAAAACTATTTTGACCCAGCCATGATAAAAGGTGTTTTGGACTTCAACTTCCATAATTCCTAACAGCTGGTGGGCTGTTAGGAATTGTGGGAGTTGAAGTCCAAAACACCTGGAGGGCCGAAGTTTGCCCATGCCTGATCTAGATCCAGGGAAGTCATGCTACCCTTCTATTATGTCTTGATCAGATCACATATGGAATACTGTATCCAATTCTGGGCACTGCAATTGAAGGGAGATGTTGACAAGCTGGAATGTGTCCAGAGAAGGGTGACTAAAATGATCAAGGGTGTGGAGAACAAGACCTATGAGGAGTGGCTTAAAGAACTGGGTATGTTTAGCCTGAAGAAGAGAAGGCTGGGAGGAGACATGACGACCATGTATAAATATGAGGGAGCAAGCTTGTTTCTGCTGCCCTGGAGACTAGGACTGTGAAAGCTGTTCAGCACTGGAACTCTCTGCCTCGGACTGTGCTGGAGGCTTCTTCTTATAAACACATGCTGGATGACCATCTGTCAGGGATGCTTTGAATGCGATTTTCCTGCTTCTTGACAGGGGGTTGGACTGGATGACCCACTAGATCTCTTCCAACTCTATGATTCTATTATTCTGTTTATAGGCTGCCCTATCTCTCCAGAGGGACTCAGGACAGTTTCCAACACATATGGCAAACATTCAGTGTCAGCAAAGAGACATATAACAGATTAAATCAAAACATGACATAATTCAAAGCCAACTTCATAGCAATAAACAACTACAACTAAATAACTAAAATGATAAATATTGTTGAATTAATATGATGGTTTGTTTGATTAATATCCTTTATTTTAACTGTATTTTGTTCTAGCTGATATTATGAGCCATTTTGTGTCCCAAGCTGAAAGAAAGTTGAGGTATACATGGAATAACTATAAATGAATAAGCAAACAAGTAAGTAAATAAATAAATGTGATATTTACAAATGTTTAAATTGCTGGTCTTTAACACAAACATCACCACCAGTTCCTTTCTCTGAGAGCTTATGCATTTGGAGATACTATTGTGCCAATCATTTATATGCAAAGTACAGTGCAATTATCTGGGGGTCAGTGACATAAAGGTAAAGGTTTTCCCTTGACATTAAGTCTAGTCATGTCCAACTCTGGGGAGTGGTGCTCATCTCCATTTCTAAGCCAAAGAGCTGGAATGCTATTAGCTTTCCACAGGAGCGGTACCTATTGATCTACTCACATTTGCATGTTTTAAACTGCTAGATTGGCAGAAGTTGGAGCTAACAGAGGGAGCTCACCCCACTCCCCGTATTCGAACTGCTGATCAAGTTCCGCAGTTCAACAGTTTGACTCACTATGCCAGCGGGGGCTCAAAAAATCAACCTATAATATTTTTGAAAAATGAATCAATAAATGGCACCAGTTTAAACACCCAAGACAGGCTTCCATTTGTATGGCATCTTCAGTGGTGCTCTCAGTTGCTCTAAAAAAGAAGGGACTGGCCTGATGGATGAATCAGTTACCATGACAAGGTTTAACAATTGAGATGTAACTCAGTGCTTTGCTAGACATGTGGAGTTTAGCTAAAATACAGTTTATGAATCTCCTTCAAAAGCCCTGCCTCCTTCATCAAATTTTCAAATTGTATTAATATGGCTTAATCCAAAATCAAGTTGAGTTTTTTTTCCAAGTTCTTCACTTTAGGAGACTTTTCTTCTCATTTGACACAGTGGAGCTGAATTTATAGATTTACTGGGTTCACATATCAATAATTTTCTGTCAATAAATTGAAAACAGTTTTGTATCCCGTCTGGGGGGAAAAAAAAACTTCTAAAATTTGCTTCTGTTGCACAATTCCTGTAACTGAGCTTTTCCTGACAGCTGACCTGTCATTCTAAGAATTATAATGTGCAAATTAAAGTAATTTTCTCCAGTGTAGGAAAAACAACATACGGTAGATATTTGGTGGCACTTGACTGAGAATGTATAGAACACAGAATGACTTTTTCCTTTTGGTTTTCTATCTTCTCTTTACAAAACTCAATCATTCCATTTATCTTTTATCAGATTCAACATTCACAGATGAGGTAAATATGATCATCGCTTTCTATGTATTGTTGTTCCTGCAAAGTTCTAGCAAGACATTCTTCATAATAGAACAATTTGTGCTTGTCAGATTTCATGCAACTAAAATTGAGATACAAAACAAGTATTTGAACACACCACTGTCTGTGCTAAGTTGTGAATGAAGCTGCTGTTTCACACCAAAACATCCCACTGTTGTTGCTGTGGGCCTTTAAATCAATTTCAACTATGGCAACTTTATCCTTGGGCTCAAATTGAGTAAGGATTTGAACTCTGGTGGCCCAAAGAACTAGGGTGCCTCTACACTATAGAATTAGTGTTGTTTGACACGAATACTATGAAATCATGGGAGCTGTAGTTTTACAAGATCTTTGGCTTTCTCTGGCAACAAGTACTGGTGCCTCATCAAACTATACATCCCAGAATTCCATTGCATTGAGCCATGGCAATTATAGTATGTCAAGTTATATGATTAATACAGTGTTAAATACACACCAAGACTAGGGAAGAAAGCGAACAGGAGGATTCTCTTCCCTTTAGCATCAGTCCTCCTTGATAGAGAAGACTAAAGACCCTGTTGAACAACGAGTCCATAACATTGGGTCATAGCAGTTAAAGTGGCATCAAACTGCAATAATTCTACAGTGTAGAAGATGGAATCCTAGTCCAACACTTAAACCAAGAATCTATAATTGCTCTCTAACTTTGTATTTTTATATGATTTTTAGAAATAAAATGTAAAGAAATATAGATTAAATATATTTTAGGATTTTTATGTAAAACCTTATTTTGTCTATAAAATCTTTAAAATTGAATGTGCAAAATTATAATAATATAATAATAACTTTATTTTTGTACCCCGCCTCCATCTCCTCAAACGGACACGGTGCGGCTTACATTATGACTATCTTTTAAATGTGGGGTACTAAAATTAAGGTGCGGCCACTACAGCCTAGATCAAGTTGGTTGCCCTATTAAGAGTGATGTATTGAACGGTACATCAACACTTACATCAATCCAATAAATTCAACAAGTCCCTTCTAGATCCACAGGACTAAGCATGTAAGTTTATTGACATTCAAAGAATAATGTGTTAAACATCAGATTCTCTAAGCACTGACATTTCAATTAATAAACACATCCACCTGTGGAAATGATCACCTTGCTTCCTTCAAATAGTAACTGTCCCAGACTAATCTTGAATGCCAAAGTTCTTGAGTTTTCTATGTCAAAACACCACCTTAACTAAGAGACACCAGACTCTATATCCTGCTATATAAAAGATTATGCAACATTAATCTCCATAACATCAATTCTATTTGTTCCAAAACAGTATCTTCTTATACCCAAAGTGCAAAGGAAAACCTTAACCCTTGCACTTAAATCAGTGTCCCAAAAGATGACATGACCGATGAGGTTTTCATGCAATGACTTTCTATTGTTAGCTATCTTCTTGTCTGTTTTACTTTCCCCGTAAGAAGAGGTTTTTAAAGCT